ATCTATCTATCTATCTATCTATCTATCTATCTATCTATCTATCTATCTATCTATCCATCCATCCATCTATCTATCTATCCTTAATCCTTCAATAGCAATAGCACTTAGACATATACCGCCCCACAATGCTTTCCAGCCCTCTCTAAGCGGTTTACAGAGTCAGCATATTGCCCCTAACAATCTGGGTCCTCATTTTACCCACCTCGGAAGGATGGAAGGCTGAGTCAACCTTGAGCCTGGTGAGATTCGAACTGCCAAATTTCAGGCAGCCAGCAGGTAGAAGTAGCCTGTAGTACTGCACTTTAATCACTGCACCACTGTGGCTCATAATGTAAGATCTCCTGCATGTACCAGAAATTTTGAAACCAGCAAATATTTTATCTTCTCCATTTCCATAGTATTATTTGTCCAGCAAACTACATGCCAGCTGCTGACTATAGTATTTTAGAGCTTTCATGTTTTTTCAAGAACGTTTCAATATTTCTAGGAATTCTGTAATTCTGTGCCTGTAGTGATGTTGGTAGAGGTAGCAGTAGTAATAATAATTTAATGTTCTCCTGATGATTTAGATTATAACTTCCACCAATCCTAGCGAAAATGACCAGTCAACTGGGGAAAAGGGACCTCTCATCAAAAACCTTTGGGAGGGAGCAGCAGGCTGAGAAGGATGCTTAAATAACACTTCATTATAGCCAAAAGCCAGTTAGGTCTAATACTTAGTAAAAGGATCTTTAATCTCGTCTAAACAGAGTTCTCTTCCCAATGTTTCTGGTAATAGATATTTTATCTAAGCTTTCATATGGAAGAAAGGAAGAAAGCTTTCACTCACGAAATCAGAGAACAGCTGATCACTGATGAAACCATGAATCTTCTGGAACTGCTCCAACTCAGCACTTCCCTTCTCCATGCACAGCTCCCACATACTCAGTGCTGCTGTCACTTTAACACTAGCTGATTCCTGAAGGCCAAAAAACAACAACAACAACCTCATAAGTTGGCTTGAAGTATGCTCTTATACCAACCTGCTCCAGAGGCAGGCAAAGTCTTAAATTGTGGGCCTGGCATTATACAAGCCTAGTCAAGGGAGAGTCTTCCAATCCATTCCTTTGACACTCCTCGGCCTTATTAGATGACCGATGATGCAATCTTTCTCAAGTTACCCTTCCCACTTTACACAGACACATAAAACTTATTTACCCGGACATGTTGAAGGTAAAGAGAAAGATCCCGGATAAAAGATTTAATCAGACGCTGCTGCATCCTGAAATTCTTTTCAGTCTCTTCAAAAGCCTCATCTTTGAGCTGCCAGAGAGAGGGTGGGAGGGAGAGAGGCTGTGAACCCTCTGAAAGTTCCCACAGTGCCAAATTCTTGTAATAACCTTAAAGCATGTGAGCAGAAACAACTCTTATTCACCTGGGGAGCAAAACCTGTGAGATGTTTCAAGTGGCTGCTGACCCGGTTGGATTTCTTGATTATGGAGTGGAAATTAAGTTTGGAGATCTTCTCAATCAGGCTATCATCATCAGTCTTCCTGTACTTCAACACTGAAAAGGAGACAAAATTAGCCTCATACTGGGGAGTTGTTAAGCTGACCATAGGACTATGCTTTCCTGTGTCTTTTGTTACAGATCCCATCCTCTCTATCTCATTCTAATGCCACCCGAGCGTTACTTTTAAACCAGAAGAACACCAACAAAGCTAGTGAACACAGCATAGTTATATTAAAGTTTAATGGGTTTTTTGTTCTTATTCCCAAAACCCACAGAAATAGCTTTTCTGGACTGTACCAACCCAGGTACACTTTAGATGGGTGGACTTCAATTCACACAACTCCCAGATGAATCCAATCTTCTCAACTTGGTTTATACTTCATATCTACTAAAAACAGAACTCAAAGAATACAGTTCTACTGGCTGAGAAGTGTTGTG